TGTGTGTGTGTGTGTGTGAGTGCATGAGTGGAGAGTATGCACTGTTCCCCAAGAGAGGTTTAAGTAGAGCTGCTTTTTTACCCCTCTGGCTGAACTGATTGAGTATTCTAGCAAAGATTGCCCTGTGAGAAAGATGGATTGAACATGAACAGAGTGTGAGGCAGCCTTCTGCACGTGCATGCACACACTTAGAGGAGCTGCTGCCTAACGGCGCGATTCAGACACGTTTACACACACCAAGGTCGAGAGCGGCAGCGTGTGTGTGGATTCGCAGCTACAACACTTGCCAAGTGGATGTCAAGCAAGAGGGAAGACAAATGTTGAACACTCCTGTTAGACGCAGCTGAGAGAAATCCAAGCAGCTTCTGAGCTGAAAGCATTGACGATGCACAGACTGAGCAGACACAGAAACACAGCCAAGGAGCCTTGTTGTGTTCATGTTAATAAAGTGGAGGAGCGCTCAGTCTTTCACTAAGGCCAACAAAAATGTCACCATAATAACACACACACACACACACACGCACACACACACACACACACACACACACACACACACACACACACACACACACACACACACACACACATGCATGCAAAATAAACAGTTTCATACCCAAATGCAACTTTAACAACACATAAATCCTCCTGATGAACTCTTCACATTGACACTTCAGACGTAAAACACACTTTTCTGACTCTTAATAGTTTCTTCCAGTCTGGGCAAAAAGCACTTTACCTTGTAACTATGGATGCAACGTCTGTGTGAACCTGTTCCATCTTCTGTGATGTGTTTCCAGTCAGTTAAGTTTGTTGTGGTGATGACTGGCACATCTCGTTACAAGAATACTAAAGCAAATCGTCACAACACACACGACTGCACTACAACTTGGCAGTGAGCAGGAGTGAAGATAGACACTTCACTTGCCTTAGCCCCTTCCAACAGTCATGCATTTTATTGTAATATAAACTTTTACACAAGGACTTAATTTCAAAGACCATTGAAGGCATTCAGTCAAATAGTTTATTAGAAAACGACAGTTCAGACCCACTGAAGTGTGTTTGCAGAAGAAAGGTCGGCCCAGTCTCGTTCCCTTTCGAGCTCTGCCCGATGCTCCTAGAATAACCGCATGTCAGCCACACCCGGCGCTTGCTGCTCCTTGTTTTGGGTCATAACAAACACCACATTCCAACTACCGCTGTTGTCTCTCAAGCCTAATTTATACTTCTCTGTCAGCTCCACGAGGGAGAGACACGCACACACGGACGGAGACATTGTACCCTCATACTTCTCCGTCTCCTGGAGAGTGTTGCAAAGCAATTCCCCGCCAGGACAACAGAGGGCGTAGCGCTGTTCTGTGGAATCCTGTCATGCTTCTGGTCCAACATAGTGTGTTTATATTGTGTTTTTTTGTATATAAGATACTTTTAACACAGACAAATTTGTCTCTCATTCTCCTCCACCTCTTCATGCGTTCGCCACCTCTAAACCCACGTTTAGAATACCGTCATTTTCGTCCACAAATAAAACGCTTGCTGCATATCTTTTCACTCCTCCAGTCACGGGGGAATTAAACATTCATATTTTTAGAGTTTTTTAGAGTTTTTTCGCGAGGTATTCTTCAAGCTTCTCCTTGTCTGCCGCTAGTTATCCTCTGCTCTCTTTATGTTTTTGAGGGCGCAATCGCAGCGCTGTAGACGACAGCGGCATCCTGACCGATCACAAGCTTGCGTTCTCCATCTCGACGGACGGATGTTTGGAAAAGAAGGCTCCACTCCATCCATCCTAGTGAGGGCTCACCAGCAGGCTTGCAAGGACAGATATTGGCCTTGTGCGCGTCTGTCCCGACGCACACAGAGAAGTATAAATTAGGCTTAAGTCTTCTCCACGCAGCAGAGATCTGACAGAATGACTGAGTCTGACGTTTATGACCCAGCAGAGTTCTCGCACCTCCGTGAGGATGTAACTCACCTCCGCATGCTGGTGGACCAACAGAGCACAAGCTCGAGTCTCTGGCCAAAGACAGTCCTCCAGCTGTCCGTCGCTCTCCAGTGTCGCACCACGGCTGGGAGCGAGGACCCCCACGCTGATCTCCCAGAGTGATGGGATGGGACGAGGGGCAGCCCGGACAGTCACCGGCCTGCAACGACTACACTGCCTTCGTAAAGGAGCTCCACAAAGCTTTTATCCAACCCAGCAGCAAGGCTAGAGCTCGCCTGAAGCTGCGACAGGGGGCCCAGGATGTCAGCACCTACTTGTCCCGGTTCCGCACTGTCGTGGCTAAGCCACAGTGGCGTGATGCCACTGTCAAGGCTGTCTTCATTGAGGGCTTGGTCGCCTATGTCCGGGACAAGATGGTTGTTTGGGAGGTTCCCCAAAATCTGGACAACATCGTCGACCTCGCCCTACAAATAGATCAGAGGGTCCAATGACCTTGTCCTCAAGTTCACGCCCCCGAGATGCGTGCCGCTCTTCAGCCAACTCCAACCTCCCATCCCAGAGACTACCACAAAACGTCCCAGGACGAACATATGCAGCCGAGCCATCTATCTCCCGGGAAGAGGGACCAAAGCTACCGGGAGGGCCTGTGTACATACTGCGCATCCCTTGACCATCACAGAGCACACGGTCCTTTGCGGTTGGGAAACACCGTCCCCAGATAAGGCTAGGGGGAACCTTACCTAGATCTTTGTCATCTCCCCCAATCAACGCACCACCCTGAAGATCACCATTCACCTCAAGCAGGGCCCTACCTGCCTGGACGCTCTACTGGATTCAGGGTCCGCAGAAAACTTCATAGATCAGCACCTCGCCTCCCAACTCCAGCTCCCCAGTGTTCACCTCATTCAGGCCATTCCGGTCATTTTGGTGAATGGGAGACCACTCCATCCCTTCCCTGTCCATTACTGAACCCCTGAGCTCACAATGAGTGTGGGCAAACACCACGAGGCACTCCGCTACCTCCTTATCTCAGCCCCTTCCAGTCTTCTCATCCTGGTGCACACCTGACTCCAAGCCCATGACCCCTACATCTCCTGGGCCACGGGCCACCTACTGAATTGGGGACCCCACTGCCATACCCACATACCTCCCAAGTCCTCTCCTCCCATCAAGGCCACATGCGATGAACTCCAGGACTTCGGACCTATACCCACACAGTACCGGGACATTGCTCAGGTCTTTGCCAAGCCTCCAACCGCCACCCTTCCTCCTCATTGACCACATGACCTCAAGATTGACTTCCAGCCCGGCACCGTTCTCCCCTAGGGCTCATTACTGGGGCCTGAACTGTTTAACAGTCAAGGATAGGCTCCCCCTGCCACTCATGGCCAGCGCCTTGGATGCAGTATCTCAGGCATCCATCTTCACTAAGCTGGATCTAGGAATGCTATATATATATATTTATATACATACATATTGATGATGTAAACAGATTTCAAGAGTCCGAACTTTTGAGACAGAGCAAAGACACAAACCACAGAGAACATGGAAACTTGATGAATCCAATCAAACTCAGAAAGTTGAGAAGATCAGATGGGGGAAAGCAGTTGCATCTGACCTTTTCAGAGCTAGATGGAGCTATTCCAGTGGAGAGCCCTGCAGAGCTCACACATCACATGCTGCACGACAGAGGACCGGATTCACATCAACATTTGAATATGCTCTAAATTACTCAGCAAATCTGCAATGGCGGTGCTCATGCGTATGAATGAGTGCTTGTCTGCATTTGATACCGTCTGGATCAGGGCGATATGGGGGGGGGGGGGGGGGGGGGGGGTCAGGTGAGACACACTTTTGGGAAGTGGGTGGCAGCAGCTAAATTACTTATAAACCTCCTGAAAGTGTTTGTATATATGCAAATCAGGTGTGTGCGCAGAGCAGCATTTATTTTTTATGCCTTCACATGTTCCTATCAGATAAATCTTTAAAAGGCAGTCAGTACAGGACGGAAGGGGAGTCAGTATCAATGTAAGCTTATGCATTCTCAAATTACCTCAGACTACTGCCTGCTATTACCAACGCTGTGCTAATCGAAGGCAATTTGCATTTTGGCTGATGAGCAATTTTTAAACCGTCTCCCTGATATTGATGGAAGTGAAGCAAAATTAAATGAGTTTAAAATGGAAGCATGTGATGTTGGAGGTCTTAACCCTCTCAGGCTCAAAATAAGTTTTGATAAAGGGACGAACAACTAAGTCCTTCAGGGGTACTTCTGAGGTAATAAATGCTCATGAAATACAGATGTGGAGTAACCAGGTGGGTAGGTTTTAACTGTTGCAAATCTGCAACGCCTGCCTCCAAAGGGTTAAAATAAAATAAATAAAATAATTTGATTTCAAAACACGCTTTGGGACCCATAGATGAAGGTTGCTCTGGTTTTCATATGAAGGGAAAATGCAGGAGAAAGAATAATTTGCTTAAAATATTCAGAGATTTGCACCATAGTTACTGAATGCCAGGTGCTCAGAGAATCAACATGTGTAAATCCCTACAGGATATGTTACCAGAGGAGTAATAGTAAACACAGACAGGTGAATAAAATAAAATAAAAGAAAAAACATGGAAGGAGAAACGAAGAGGCCAAATATTGCATCAAAATCACAACATCTGTCACCCATAGAAAGCTCTAAATCTAAATTCCTCATAATGTAGCAAGACTACATGCTATCTCTAGTGAATCCCTCAGAATTGTACTTGATTACTTTGTTTACAGTCATTTAAATCTTTTGCTTGAATACTGTGTCCTTCCTCTGCCTGGTGTGGGTCTTTTCCAGAGCTTACTGTCCACCAAATGTGAGGTTAAATGTCGGGATTTACCGACACACAACTGCAGAGATTGATCCGTCTTTTGCAGGACAACCTCCTTAAATGATCCAGTCAATTTTTTTTTGCCACTGCAGTGCCTGCTGGTTCTGTCTAAATCGATTCTGTAACCTTTTAGTTATCAAACGAAACGTGTGATGTGCAGAACCTCGTGCAGACCGTGAAGGTCTCCACTCACCAGCTCGATGAGCTCCTGGTAGCACACCTGTCCCTCTTCATTGCTGTGGACAAGAGCTAACAGCATGTCCAGTTTGGATGGGTCCAGCTGCAGCTCATGGTGCTCCACCAAACTGGTGAAGTTCTCCACTGGGATGAAACCGGTGTTTTCTGGGTCCAACTGCAAAGAAAAAAAAATACTCCATATGAAAACTGCATGACAAAAGAGTTAAACATCTTTTTTTTAAATAGTCAATGCACCATTTATGTGTAAGTTTCCCTTTTGGGGGAATGCATCATTAAAACAGCTGAGGTGTTAAAACAAGCAGAAATAAATGATCCTCACTTTTTGAGTCAGAGGACTCCAAAGAGCTTTACACTACACTGTAGCTTTAATTCATTCACACACACACACACACACACACACACACACACACACACACACACACACACACACACACACACACACACACACACACACACACACACACACACACACACACACACCCACACACACACACACACACACACACACACACACACACACATTCACACCCTTGTGGTGATGAGCTACAATGTAACCACAGCTGCCCTGGAACTCAGTGACAGAGAAAGCACAGGAACCACCAGTCTGTCCGACCACCAGCCGCAGGCAAGGTGGGTTATGTGTCTAGTCCAAGGCCACAACAGCAGCATTCTCTGCCGGCATCAAACCTGCAACCTTCTGATTACTGGACAATGTGCTCTACCTCCTGAGCTACTATTAATGAGAACTATAGACTTCCAGAAAGAGCTCAAACTCTGAGGCAAGTATTAACTAGAAATTTTCAGGAAAATTTTTGAAAATAAGAAAGCAAGACAGCTTAAAGGGATACTTTGTATCGTTTTTATAACTTTAAATAATTTTCTTGAGCCAGTATGCGCTAAAATGACCTTTTACAGGGTCAGTGAAAGGCCACCCAGCTCCTATCACCCCCGGGGCTAGAATAGCGCACTTGCAACTCCAGAGAGCCGGCACGGTCTGTTGGACTTGAAAAAAATTGAGCTGACATACCTGGCACTGCAATCTGCTTCCAGCACTTTTCCTGCATGTTTTAGATCGTGAACACAGCTGATTTGTTTAATTTAGAGATGAACCGCTCCAGTAGACACTAATGAAGGCTGAGGAGACATTTCAACTGTTGGATTAAGTTGTTAAAAATACAAACGCACAGCGCTGTGATAGGTTTTGGTTTCAGTTCAACAAACAGACAGTAGGTGGTGCTAAAAGCAAGCCAAAACTGTCTTGTCTCCCTTCAATATGATATAACATTATATTGTAAGAATCTAAGCAACAAAATCCCCACATAGTTATGTCTGAGCCGTATAAGATGTGCAAAGACAACAAATACTAACAAAAACGTTAAAGCTGCCGTTGATCATTGGGGTCCTTAAAATGGTGACCATGCAACCAAACAAACATACAAAATATAAAACAAATTGCATTTAATAATTTCTTAATCTGTGAGCAGCAGAAGGCTCTGCTGGGTCATACATGAATTTTCATGCTTTTGCAAAGTTCAAAAGAAATATTTATGACAAGTTTAGAAAGAAAACCTTCATTTAAAGTTTTGAAGAGAATAATTTTAGCAAAAAATGTAACTGAAGCTTGTAAAATTTGGGATTTTAAGCTGTTTTCTCTGAGGAAGACAAACGTCCTCTTGTTCATGTATTAAATGTAGTAAAAAGCTGTGGGAGTAAAAAGTGTTTGCAGATCCCAACATTCAAGTGTGTGATGTCATCACGCGGAGTTGAACATTCTGTTGAAAATTTTCTAAAAATCTTAAAACGTTAACAATGATTTAGTAACATTTTAAAAGATTAAAAAACCAGCTCACTCGTGTGGATTGTGGCTTTGTGTGACCTGGTTGAACCTTGACTGATGAACTCTGCCTGGGTCTTCACACCCGCAGAGCTATCTCATGTTTTTGCATCATTTGCATGTTTTATACACTTTTTTGTGAAAATGAACAAAAATCGTGACAAAAAGTTACAAGGATGATATTTTTTTCCAGTGCATTGGTGCCTGCGATTAAGCTGTGATTCCTTCATGATAGCTTTGATTTAAACATACGGTCGGTCAGACAGGGTGGCTTCTGCTGATGTTGGAGGCGGTTGCAAAGGACAGCCGTTCAAACAGGGAAATCACAGACTTCTAACTCTTGTTTCTGATGTGACACATACTCGGCTGTGTGAGTCTGTCCTCGGTCACAGCAGCAGCTTCTATAATCAGCATTCACTGTTGTTATTACTGCTGATGCCTGTGCGAGTTGGGGTGATGGATTTGAGAGGCAGAGTTGTCTAAAATAACACTGAGGTAAAAACAAGGCCTCTGATGTACAGAGTGTGAGTGTCAGCTTGGCTCGTGTGCCCATGTTTTATTTGAGGCTGCAGCTTTGTGCACTTATTACTCCATTTTCTTCCCTACTTTCTCCTCCTAAACGTGATTCAATAGTTCTTCAATGGAGCATTAATTCCTCCTGCCAGCTCTCCTTAGAATGTCTCACTGTGTTTGTTAAAGCGCGCCTCAGGACAAACTGAAGCAGCACAGAAGAGACCACATGGGAAGAGTCATTGCCGCTTCTCATTTTAGCTGTTCCTGAAAGCTAACACAGCCTCATTAGGTTGTTGGAGAGTAAACCAACAGTGCCATGTTGCTCCAGGGAGAGGCCAGCTTTTGGATGTTGCATCAGAGTGTAGTCAGTCATGGTGGATCATTGTCCCCCCCTCATGTCCACAAGAAAAGTCTCATCTGGTCTCAATGCAATCTGCTCCGACACGGTGAGACAAAGATGCAACACCGGCTCTGTGAGGGGGGGCGGTGCTCTGCAGCACTGAGCGGGTCTCTGCAACATCGGGCCCGGAGCTTCAAGCTTTGCTGCTCGAGGGGGGAGCGTAGATCAATCACAGAGTCAGCCTGTGTGACCGCACCAGCTACGTGTCTCTGTCCAAATGTGTTCACCGTCCACAAACATTTTTATTCATGCATGAGGACTCTTAACACACTTACTCTGCCTTTTCACTTCTCACGAGAACTTTTCAACAAAGTGACACTTTAGTTTTACTGATTCGTTCGAGTGAGAGTCCCGGTGGAGCTACATAGGTCTTTTCCACTGGCTATACTCAGCGTGACTCACGTTCAGATTGTAATCCTTTGTCCGCCCTTATTTTGACCCCTTGTTTCTTCACAATTTGCTTTCAAGATGCCAACCATCTGCGATGGGCTGGCTCTCTGTCCAGGGTGTACCCCGCCTGATTGCCCATTGACTGCCTTTCACAGAGACACAGCTTGTTTAGTTCAAGGGTCTGCAAACTTTACAACTAAAGGATGAAAGCTAAATACAATCATACTATCCACTATAAGACTTTACTTTTTGTTGTGATGGGATCTTCCTTTTTAATTTTGAAGTGCTAGCAAAATAACAAAAATAAGACAATCACTATTGCTTGTTCAGAACTCTGCAGAGCAAAAGCAGTTATCATATTTGAAGAAAAAAATAATATACCATATAATTAGTGATAAATAAAGCAATAACATGTACCTTAATGCTTTTATAAAACCAGAAACAGACAACAAGATTTAGTAAATTCATTAAAAAAAGAAGACAAAAACATTGTGGTTTAACATATTAAAGTACCACACTGTTTGTTTGCTAAGAACATCCATAACATATTTAGGCTGCTTAAAAAACACAATTTATATGAAACAATATACTTTAAAAGAATGTAGTGGAGTGTTTACAATAGTTTTAATTAAAATTTTTACAATTATGTTCTAAACAATAATAATAATAATAATAATAATAATAATAATAATAATAATAATAATAATAATTACTATTATTATTATTATTATTATTATTATTATATAGGATGGGTTGCCAGGCTACCATTTGTCCACTTTCCTCATTTTTCCTCTGCTTAGTGTATTATCATGTCAGCTAAAATGACAGAAAATGAGCTGCCTAGTAAACATGGTCCATAAACAAACTTTGAAAGGCTTTCTAAATCTAACAAGACTTGAGAAGATTACAAGGAAATCTCACAGACCCAATCCATGCATCTCATTTCAACTCTCAACTCTATGAGCTACAGTCTTTAGGCAGCCTCAAACACACATAAAGCGGAGTATTTTGATGAAAATGAACCAAGATGGGGATGGAGAAAGGCTTGTGTCTATTTTTAGATAATCCCCTTTACTCTGAGGTTTATGGGTATTTGTTAAAACATGGCTGTTTTCCCCTGGAGGAGAATTGAGTATTTACAACATGCAGCGCAGCAGGATGACATGGAGCGGGAAGAAGAAGCCCAAAACTTAAAAAAATAAAAATACTAGGGATGTGGGTGGTTGGTGGGTTGATGGAAGATGTGAATGATGCAGAAGGAGATGGCGTGAGTAAAGGCTGGGACTGACATGAGCCTTAAAGAATGAAAAACCTCTCAGTGCTGACTGGACTAGAGGTCTTGGCAGATACTCCTGTTCTTCTCTTTCCTATAAGCGGACGGTGACACACTCCAGTGCTCTGCACCCACTTGCCACAGAGGAGAGATAGATCAGATCGTAATGTGCTCCTGGCTCAGCCCGGGCAGACGGGGGGAACGGAGAGCCACACTGGGGACGTCTGATTACTGTCAGCCTCCATATGTCAGCACGTCACTGCGCTGCACATACAGAGGCAGCTCACACACAGCGACAAAACCGCATCAGCCCGCGCACCATTACACAGACACACAACGTGTTGATGCTGAGCTGTCATGGATAATATCGCCGTCATGGTCTGACCTTATTCAGGCGGAGCATTACACGGGGGAGGACGTCTGCCGAGGATACAGGGAGGTAGCCAATTAGGGTTATCAATTACCAAGATGAGAAGCATGGAGATGAACGAGAGTTGGCCAGAGAGGCGTCTTCCTTTCTTGCACTTGCTAATTTGGACCGTCTCATGTGCACGAAGAATAGGAGGAAAATCTGATGAATGCAGCAAGAAAAAGCACTGAAAGGGACGCATTTATTGAAGCAATCCAACACTGGTGAGGGCGACACTTTGACAAGCCGCATGCGTTGCCACGGTAACCAGTTGCCTGTGTGCCACCCCCCTCCCTTTTCCGTTTCCCCATTTTTCCCTGACATATTGGTATTCC